TATCTTTTTGCTTTGGTCAGGCACTTATATCTTCCTTTATATTTAGTCTCTTAGACTAAAAAGAAACAATTCATATACTTCATAACATTATATAAGTCAGCAAAAATTGTAAGAAAATTTATTTTTTATCTTCTAAGGAAACCTTTGAGTTAGAGACATTATAAAACAAGATATTGACAGGCTACGGAGTGTAACGCTTGGATGCCTCTCTCTATGCATAGGATGTAGCTGACAGGAAATCTGAAATTAGCACTTACCTCTCAACTCACAGAGAGTCACACCAAGTTTTTGCAGTACAACTCCAAGCAAGTTGCTGGAACACTTTTGCAGGGTCGGAGCCATATTGAGGCACCGAGTGTTTCATGCATATGTTAAATGTATTTACCATTTTGTTTTTATTCACTCTCTGCAAATGTTTTAAGGTCTCCTTACGTCGACAACAAGTTAGTGAGAGACTGAATGAGTGGGCTGTCTTCAGTGAGAAGAACAAGGAGCTCTGTGAGTGGCTGACACAAATGGAAAGTAAGGTTTCTCAAAATGGCGACATCCTCATAGAAGAAATGATTGAGAAACTTAAAAAGGTATAGTGCAGTGCATGTACACTTACACACTGTTCTTTAACTGCTTACTTGTTTTGTGTTGCAAAGAGAATACTGAATTAACTGAAATGGAGGTTTTAACTTACAGTGACATTTATAAGTTCTAGTAAGACTATGTGTTTGTGTTCTTTCCCACTATGCAGCATTTTTCTGTCTTTCTTGAGGCAGGACCTCCCAGGATACCAGAAAATTAAGTGAATGTAAAGTCAAAGGCATCTGAATGCTTTGCTAAATGTCCAATCAGAATTACCTGTAATGAATTTAGTTATAGCAGATATATTTATAAAAGGCATTGTGTTTTGGTTTGTTGTTTTTTTTTTTTCAATCTTCTGATAGAGTTGTTCATGGTTATACATTTAATATTTAAGATCTTGTCTCTCCACTGTACCAATCACCAAAAAACCAACATTCACTTGTATATTTATATTGTTCCTTTAGTAGTGTAGAGCAGAGTAGATTCTAAATAAGTACCCTGACTTCGATTGATCTTTATTGTCCAGGATTATCAAGAGGAAATTGCTGTAGCCCAGAAGAACAAAATTCAACTCCAGCAAATGGGAGAGCGACTTGCTAAAGCCAGCCATGAGACTAAGGCATCAGAGATTGAGTACAAACTTGGCAAGATCAATGACAGGTGGCAACATCTTCTAGATCTCATTGCAGCCAGGTAAAACAGTTGTTTTGTTTCTAAGTGCTACCTGGGACAGATTAATATGCTGGATGTCATGAATTTAAAATCTCTTTATTATCTCCCTTTCAATCATGAACTGTGAAATGAGTTTGTTCTTAACCATCAGCACATCTGTGTGAAAGTCACTTTCCTGTTTTGCTTTACAGCACTTGACATAATTTCTTCAAGAAGAGTCAATTAAAAAAATTATCTGATGGAATGACATAGGATCAGTTGCAGATTTAGTGAGTCTTAGAATCATAGAATCATATCATAGAATGGTTTGGGTTGGAAGGGACCTTAAAGATCATCTAGTTCCAACCCCCCTGCCATGAGCAGGGACACCTTCCACTAGACCAAGTTGCTCAAAGCCTCATCTAGCCTGGCCTTAAACACTTCCAGGGAGGGGGCAAGTACCATCTTGCTCCAGTACCATCTTAGTTCAGATGAGTGCTTAAAACTGGGTGCAAATGTAGTTTTTCTAAAAAATTCTTGGTAGAGGCATTGAAACAGTACATTTGTAGTTTTGGATTTTGAGAAGAGCAGTTACAAAACTAAGTGCTAGTTTTTCTGCCTGATTATTTTTGCACTGATGGAGAAGAATAATTGCAGGTAGACGTATGCACGTTGAACTTAAATATTCTTTTCATTCAAGGTCAAAAACATAACAGCAATTTTCATAACTTAAAGAAATACAGGTTTGTTTTTTGATATGTGAAGAAACTGGTTTATTTGTTTCAATACTTTCTGTTCAGTCGTGCCTTCCTTCCATTACCAACAAGAATTTTATAGCAATTTTACACTTCATAAAATGTACGTATACTTTATATTTTACACTTCTGTGATGCAAGGACATATGAATTAATAATACTTTAGTCCTGTTATCAGCAAAAGGGTTTGTTTAGTTTCATCATCTTTTCTTGTCCATTCTTTTTTCGTATGGCTTTACTGCATTCTTGCTCAGAAATCTGTAAGCAAGTGAGCAGTAAATTTTATGTAAGCAGAAGCATTCTGGCTGCTCCATCTCCTTTTGTAGTGGTTTAATTTAAAGTAATTAACACTACATTTCTCACAGACAATTAAGTCAGGAAGTGGTGCATTACAGTTGAGAAGCCTGCTGGTTTCAGAGGATGTGATATGTCACCAGTTGTTGAACATAAAGTTTATTTGCCATATTTTTGTGTTTGTCTTTTGAAACACCTACTCAGACAAATATTTAAATGATGCTGTCAGGAAGTTTCTAGTGAAAAGTCATTGCATTTAGAAACTGTGAAATACATCTTTAAAAGATCTGTATTGTCTACTCAGTATTAGAGGTTAGTGTCCTCTATAAAGACAGGTAAGCGTTCAGGATTCTATATCATTCTTGGGGTGGGGAGATATAAACTGCAATATTATACACGTAAACTTTTGCATTCTCTTATCATGAAGCAGTGTGTCAAGTCCTAGTTCTAAACTCATTTATGTAAAATATTTATTTACTTTTATTTCCTGATCATTTCAACTTCTCAACTAGCGTGCTCAGCACTATTGTATGCCATTAAACATATAACCTTTTCCATTCCGGTGCTTACTGAAGTGAAAAAAAACCTGCAAAGTTTGAACATTGGAGTGCTGAAGGTGGGAAGAAAATGGCGGAGAGATTTGATGTGAGGTTGTGGAAATTTCAATAGTTGAGCTATAGCTGAGGCTGGTAGAGGTTAAAGCCCAAGTTGTTGATTAATGTATGTACAAAGTACTTGAATTGATGTATAAATCCCACTGGACAAAAGGAACATCCAAGAAAAAAAAGGAGCATCCCCCAAGATAATTTTTAGAAAGCTCCAGAGTCTCTTTAAAATATGTTGTTATATATTGGGGTATGTTCCTATTATGATATTTTGGAGTTTGGAATGTATCATATAACATGATTTTGGCTGCACTCAGCTAGTAAATGCTGATTTATTGTTCTGGTGTTGAGAATAAAACACATCTTTTCATATTCTGGTTCCCTGACAACCTTAATAAATTATTAGAGCCTGTGTGCTTTTCTGTAAAGCTACAGTCATCCCTTGCCTGGAGCATTTTTCTTAGTGGCTTGTTTCCTACAGCTGTGAACAAATAGAAAGTGTCTTATGAAAATGCTTTAGTAATATAGTATGGTAACATGCATCCAATCTGAATCCTTACCAGTTGATTTTACACTGTGCAGTGGAACTTCTCCATTCACCTCTAAAAGTATTTTTCTCTTTCTTTCTTTCTTTCTTTCTTTCTTTCTTTCTTTCTTTCTTTCTTTCTTTCTTTCTTTCTTTCTTTCTTATATTCTGTTTCCTTCCCCACTTTTTTTAGTTGCCTCTCCATTCTGAGGACGTCTGTAACTGCAAAAGAAACAGCTACAGAAAGGAAGCAGAGTCTCTGCATCAGAGACTTCTGTTTCTGTCCTTCTAGAACATTTTCATCCTTTCAGATGAGTTTTTCTGATATGTCAGCCCAGTGCAAAAAATGTTGCAGATGTTTACAGCCAGGATGCAGTGCTATTGCTGCAACTGCTCGGGCTTTGCAAAGAAGGCTTTGTTGTATATGTTTTCATCCCTTCCCTTAGCACTCACAGCCCACATTCCTGGAGTCCAAGTCTGGCACATGTTGATGAATGCAAGTTTTATTTAGAAACATGACCACTTGTCACCATTCAGTCTCATGTTATCAAGCAGCGGCTGCTAACATTTGTTTGGCGTGCAACATTTTCTGTACAGTACTCACCAGCAAAGAGAAGTGTGTTCCCTTTCCTCCCCCCGCCCAAAGCACAGTGTTTTCAGACTTTTGGAGTGGAAGTTCTTCTTTTTAATGCTGGAAAATTTCATGGTGGTGGCAGAGGACTTGCACGCTGTGAGGATGGAGGAGGACGGCAGTGTGGATTCAGATCTCCCAGACTGTAATTGTGATATCACAAGGCAGGCAGCTATTTTTGTTTGCTTTTGATTGATACAGTTCTTTCTGAAGTCTTGGCTTGCTGGCAAACTAATTGAAGTATTGATATGTAGAAGTCACTACCTTAGCTAGAAATTACTGTTTTCTACTCAGTTTAAAAATAGCTGACAGTGATAACAACATACTTTGTTTTACAGCTACTACTTTTGGATCCCAGAATATTTTTTTGTTACTGATGCAAGCTTAGAAGTAGTAAAATCTCTTAGCTGTCAGAAAGAAACTGTAGACTGGTTTTACTGCTGTTTTTAAATACAGGAGCATGTACACACATGAGAGAAAGCAGACTTTGTATTTGTCTGCTCACTGTTTGTGTCATCAAAGGGGCATGGCTACAAGTGAAAGGCAGAGAAGGAGAGAGGCTGTAAAGTATTTTAGATTTAACTTATTGAAGCTAGTGTGTCCTGTACATGTTAATGACTGTTTTTTAACTGCATGTAGTACTTGAACCCAGCCTATATCACCTTGCATTTTTGATTCAACTTTTCTTTTTCCTTCTTCACATTATATTTTCCAGAAGTTTCACTGTTGTTGTTTAGAGTTCTAGAAATTTACTCTTTGAAAGGGGAAACTGTGATCTGGGGAGTAAATATAATTGGTGGTACTAGTGTCCTGGTACACAGTAGTACTGTTCTTTGGACAATAAATCTTTTTTAGTCATAAAAAGATTATTTTTAAACTGATATTTAAAAGACTTATTTCAACAGTGTAGTATTTTTTAATTATTTCATAGAGTAAGTGTTTCTTGAAACTTTGTCTCCAGTTCCAAGTAGATGGTTTTTAAAAAAAAAAATTTTCTGCTTTCTGCTGGCTTTGTACAGACTTAGCTAACATGCTCTTACTGACTTTTTTCATGTTGCTTTTAAAGTTTAATATTAGTAACCAGCTGTCTAAATGACTAATGCAGTAGCTATGAGTTCTATATGATGCATTGTTATGTATTTACAGGGTTGTTCCTGTTTAGGTTTAAGTGGAATCTAATGCTGTCTAATTCAGAGTTAGAGGTATTTGTGCTTAATTTCAGCTTCAAATTGTTCTCCCATTGCCTTTTCTTAATGTAAAATATACATTTTATAGTTACTGCTTTCTTGGGGAAACTGAGGTATAGTAATTGGAACACAGAAACATAAGCATTGTAAGCCTATTCAAATTTTAAAATGAGTTTTCATCAGCAAACCATAAAAACAAACAAATGAATCCTGCAGTATTTTCCTTTCTGAGAGTCTTAAGTGTTTGTAAAATATAGTAAGACTGATATGTATGTGTTTTATATAAAAAACAACCTTTAAAACAACCATATCATGGGTCCAACCCTTTGATTTCAATGTGGAATCTTCATTATCAATGAAAGGAGTTATCTCAGGTCTTGCAGTAACATGCATAATGCTGCAACAAAAGCATAAGTTGATTATTGGAATAATTGACTGCTAAACATAATCTTGTAAATGAAATCTCAAAAGGTCAAATTTACAGTTGGCTAGGGATCCCACATACTTGAATGGTTTCTAATCATACCTCTTTGTCTCAAAGCAGAACTTTTTATTTCATTAGCTTTCAGGCCCCACTATTAGCATGGAAAGATAGAATTTTGAGACATTACATTTTTGAGAGAGATGTTTCACACACGCATTCTGTGATTATTTGCACACAAGTATAGTATTCAGTGAAATGAAGAACATAGACATTTTGCCTGCTAAAATTCAGAAGGAAAACTCTTAGACATGATGGATTACATCTATGACTTGTTTGCAGATATGTTTTCAGAGTAGCTAAAGGCACAACACTATTGCAGTTCAGTTAAAAAAAGTAAGCTCAGTGTACTCTAAGAAGCACTTGGTTTATTTGCTTCTATTTGTGCTATGGACAAGCAACCTGATATGTTAGACTCAGTACAAAAAAGGACAGCGTTAACAGTTGGGAGTTGTCCTTTTTTGTTTTGTTTTAGGGTTTTTTTTTAACTTTGGGAACTAAGGTGATGCAGGGAATTGCAACAGTTTGGTGGGACGGCATGTTTGGCAGTAGGTTTTGGTTTTGATTGGAGAGTTCTTAGTGTATGTCACGCTGTTTTGGTTTTTTTTTTGTTTTGTTTGGTTTTTTTTGTTTCTCTTGAGTAATTTAGTTCATGTGACTGAAAATAGTTCTGTTTGGGCCAGAGTTGTTTTTTGCTCTGGCAGGGTTGTATTCCTGAGGCAGAGAGGGCGCTTTCTAAATGTCAGGCCCTTTATCAGGTGTTGCAGGAAAAATCTAAATAAAATCCGGCCCAGAGGTTCGGGTGCTACACAATTGCAAGCAAGAAAGCCTGGTCTGCAGCATGGCCTTGCAAATGATAGAGTGACATTGCTTCTACACAGGGCTGACATGACTCGTTTTTCCCCTTCCCATTCCAGTGTGCCTGCAACAGATCATTGTCATCCAGCCTTGAAATCCAAGCAAATAATGGGCAGGATTTCACTCCTCTTAATTAACGTCAGAGACTGAAAAACTGTATGTGAGTTCCAGAAGAGTGATAACCAACCTTCTTGCTCACCCTATGACCAAGTTTCGTTTGGTCTAAACCCACAAAACGCTGTATGTAAAACCATAGGTGGGGAGAAGATGGTGCCCCCAGACACTGGTGGTTCTCCTACTATCTCTCCAAGGCTAAACACATAGCTGTGTTTCGAGGTAAACTGATGATGGGGTCTGGGGGCAGTCTTTCAGCACAATTGTGTTGTCTTCAGTCCCTTCATAGCCAGATTTTCAGATTACCCAGCTTTTTTCCAATTACCAAAGTTTTTTCCAGATCACAACCTTGCAGCAGTTGGTCATGAGTCTGGGAAGAAAAATGTATTTGAACTGTTCTTAAGTGTGTTTGGTGCTAAAGAGCCACAGTTTGACCATCTGTGATCTAAAGAGGGCTAGAAAGAGACGAAAATGTGAAAGATTTAACTTAAGTTTTTTTAAGTTGACGTTAAGATCTGTGCATTTGCCTTTGGTAAGAAAAGGACACCCATATTAGACTCTTAATGGTCAGCTGCAACTACAGCTTTAAATATGGAAACACTTGGTAAATTCGCTGGTTAGTATTATGGAAAAATGTGAATTGCTCTGTTTGAGTTATAGGATAGTCAAATGGCATTTTGTTTGTTTGACAAATCTACCAATTTTGTATTTTTCAAACCAATTTAGCCAATCTGTTCCCAGCTACACTCATCTCTTAAAGCTTTCTGATATTGAAACACTTCAGTGGAAGTGCAATAGAAGTATAAAAGGGAATGTGACTCAAAATTGTTCGTGGTACTACATAAATGGAAAAAAAAAAAGAAAGCTTAGATACAATTTCAGAATCCACTAATGTATGTTATGTAACGTGGGGATAGGACGAAGGGAATTACTCACAGACATTTTTGCAGTTGAAACAGGTTGAAAAAAAAAATAACAAGATAGGATGAAGGTTTAGTCAAATTTTCTTCACTCTCTAAGCTTAATGTTCCCTTGAATAAAAAACCCAGCTATTTAATTTTTCCTGGCCATTGCTGTTGCAGGGTTAGGATCTCAAGAAAAATACTACTTCAAAATAGCCACACAGTTACATTCCAATTTCATCTGTTTAAATCTGAAGCAGTCCATTAAGAGCAAGAACAACTAAAAGCAGCCCTTGGGATTCAGGAATTCTCACCAAGTTCTCAGCTGGATTTCTCTCTCTAAAACTAGTTTGTTAAAGGACAAGTCTTCACATCGCAACAGGTTGCCCAGATAGATGGCAGATGCCCCATGCCTGGAAACATTCAAGGTCAGGCTGGATGGGGCTCTGAGCAGCCTGATCTAGTTGAAGATGTCCCTGCTCACTGCAGGGGTTTTGGACTAGATGATCTTTAAAGGTCCCTTCCAACCCAAAGCATTTTACAATGTATAGTTCAACGTTTAGAAATCACCAGGGTAAAAAAGGCCTCCACCACCAGTATTGGTTAAATGGATGTGTTATTTGTAGTCTAGGAAAAACTTCTGTCATCTGTTGGTCAAATACACAACTAAATTACTTAGATTGTTTGGGGATTTCTATGTGTAAGAGTTCATTAAAAAAAAAAAAAAAGTTTTCCTTTCTTAACAAATAGATAACTCAACTGAGAAAGGTTCAGAAGCTTTGAAAATGTTGTCTGGCATTAGTAAGCTCTTAATTTTTCTTAACTCAAACCTATGAATGCCGGACTATTTACATATGTAATATACTTCTGTTGCATAATTAAGGAAGACTTCAAAACAGAACTTACCATCTAAGTTAAATTTCTCTGAAAACTTCCTGAAACAGGCTGTGAAAATTCTCCTTCAGAGTGTACTTATGCTGCCATTTCTTTTTCTTTACAGGGTAAAGAAGTTGAAGGAGACCCTTGTTGCAGTGCAGCAGCTGGATAAAAACATGAGTAGCCTGAGATCTTGGCTTGCCCACATTGAGTCAGAGCTGTCCAAACCTATCGTCTATGAAACTTGCGACTCTGAGGAGATACAAAGGAAGCTAAATGAACAGCAGGTAAAATACAGCACACTTATCAGGTGCACAATCACATGGGGAGAACCAAAGTAGACTGTCTTTGGGCTGCCCATACCCAGCTCAATGCTGAGAGGGCATGAGGCAAAGTGTTTAAATATCAAGGCAAGTGGTACTTACTGTGTCACTTATAGAGCCTTCTGCTGGCTTTGACATCGAATCCACCAGGAGCTGATTGACCTTTCCAACAAAGGTAAGGCACCAAGAGATGTAATCTGAATGAGTTATTGCAATTGTTTTTCCTTTGGAGTTTCTGGTTTTTGTTTGTTTGAATTGTCTGCTCCCAGAGACAAAACTGACACCTATTAGACCTTGCAAATTTTGCACATGCTTGAAAATGACTATTTTTTAGCAACCTTTCTAACTCAGTTTTATTTTGCAGCTTGTTTGAGAATCACTTTGCACGCAAAGATGCATGAGCTATACATGTGAAGTTAAAATTGATTGGTTTATAGCATACGAAACCTTTATGCAGTGCTAGAACAAAATAGTCAACACTGGAACAGGCAGAAAATGTTAAGTCTATCAGTTTTTGGCATTAAAACTAATTTTACACCTAAGATTTACTATACTCTCTCTTTCCTGTTCCACTTCACTGCCCAGTGCAGTTTTACCTGAAAGCACATTGCTGGGGAGGGCTGTTGTTCTACTGTGTTCCTGTTGGTTATTTACTGGCAAAAATACCTTTCTGGTGCCTCACTGGAGATGAGTTAGATGCTCTCCTGAGTTCTCGCTCCAGAGGAGAAAGAAATGTGTGGGAAGAGGAGTGCCAAAATGTTTTAGGGATAATTAATTATGAAATGTACAAACTGTCATTTTGCTCTTTTTAGCCGAGTGTGGGACTGACACCCAAGAACCCCCTCAGAGTTTTTGCCAGCTCCCCAACTGATTTGCTACATGGCTGTGCAGAATTGCTTATTAATATTCTATGTGTAATCTACATAGGGATAATAATTTATAACACACAAGCATCACTAATGAGTGGTGTTTCTGAGACAATAAATTGTTGGGCAGGGCTAAACATTGCTGTCAACTAAGTAGATACTTGAGGTGATTTACTAGCGTCTCTATGCAGGCATCCCACAGTTTGTTACAACCACTTCTTATAGGACTTGTTCTGGGCACAGAAAATGGTGTATATCTGCCTTGTGCTGTTTCCTTGTGGTGATCCTCATGCAGTGATATTCTGTAGAACTGAGTGGTTTAATTTGAACTCCAAAGGGGAGAAATAGGGGTGAGGAGGATACTGTGTTTGTAATCCTGGTGATTATTTGATTTGATAACACTGCAAGCCATGTTTAGAATAATAATTTAAAATCCCGCCCACCTTCAATATGTGGTAACCAGTATTTTTATTAGTTGGAGGCTATATCACTATCCTCTGTATCTCAGAAGGACAGTACAGTGGCCATCTTCTCAAGTATTTCATCCCTCTTTGTTCTTTCATTAGTGTTCTTAGGTTCTTTTCCATGTTTGATCTTCCACTGAGGTGATGTTATCTTCCCTGCTTGTACTGCTACCAGTTGTTCATATACAAAATCACACTAAAAATATTTTACTGTGAAAGAAGAGGTCTAAATTCTATTTCTGTAACTCCATTATCTACTTCTAAGTATCTACTTCAGCCCAGAATCAGCTTTTCAGGTTGCTGGTCTCTGTAGTGAAATTAAAGATACAATTGAAGCTGAATATCCTGGGGAAGGTAGGGTAACTTCACTGCAGTACTTTCTTATGGTCACAAACCACATTTCAAAGACTGCTTGTTTGTTTACTTTCTCAATCTGCTACTACTTGAAATGTGGAAAAAATGGTGTTTGGTTTTGGATTGATAAAGGAAAAAAAAGCTGTATGTGGGTGACAGCAGTGCATAAAAGTGATGCTCCTTTCTGAACTGACCCAAAGGCTAAATATTCTCTAATAAACAGAGATAAATTTAAAATCTGGGAAAGAAATATAATGCTAAAAAACAGTGTAGACTTTGCTTGTAGAAAGGTTCTGTAGGTGAATAAATAAGTTTAATCCTTAGGAATCCTCAGGACCACCAACTGGCAATGCTTTACTCTGAAAGAGCAGACAGGAGATTGTGTTACCTGAACTCGTTTAACCTCAAGTCTCATAGCTGTCTGGAGTATGCGTTTCATAAAGTATTGCATTTATTTATAGTATCCACCCTTATATAATATTTCAAGATGGGTAGAAAAGATAATAAGCACTTGGACATCATGATGAAAGAGTATTTTCCAGGCAATTGAAAGGGAAAGAAGCAGTGCTGAGGAAGAAAACATTGTGATTTTTCCACTTGATGGTCTCATGTAGATGTGCACAAAATAGCCTTCTGTTTCATAGACGAGAAGAGGACATAGATTACTACATTGAGTCCAACACCAGTTATCACAAACAACCAAATCAGATGGTTGCTACAAGTTGACCTTGCTCCATTTCAAATTTGATAAGGTTTTTAGATTCTACACTTAGATCTCATTTTCTGCTGGAAGGCATTTTCAAAACATCATATTGCTAGACACAACGTATGTAGACACAATATGTTGACACAATATTTCCCCATTGCTAGTGAAATAAACTATAACATGTAAAATTCTAAAAAGCAGTTTATCTCCACTCATCCTCAAGCAGCCAATTTCTTGTTTACCTAAATAAACTTTCACATCTCTAATTGTCCTAATAGTTCTTTTCTTCATCTGCATCAGAAGTGAACATAGTATTCTAGATGCAATATGTGACCCTATAGTGTAGTCACATTGGTACTTCTTTGTCATTATTGGAATTATGTTGTCTTGGCTTTGTTACTGTCCATACTGATTTTTCCATATAATATTCTGATGATTCATTGCAAATGTAAGCAGAAGTCAAGCAGGGTTTCTTTTCCTTGCACTGCTCCAACAGTAATAGCTGGTTACTTTTGCGGCTTGTCTTAACTTGAACCTGTAGCTCAAAACTGAAGCTGAAATGTTGCTTCAAGATGAAGTATTATCAACAGTGTAGGACAAGCCATTGCAAACAAGAAAAAGACAGGAGAAATAGTACTGATCATATACAGTAAGTGCTAAGACAGTGTAAGTGAATAATTTTCTTTAGCTGTCTTGAATTTTCCTTTTCCAAGTCCAATGAAAATGCTATAGAATTGGAAAGTTGAAGGAAGAAAAATCTCCTACTAGAGCTGCAATATTCAACATGTGCTCCTGATGATCTTCATGTCAAACACTTTGTAGCTAGCTCACCTGGGGAATAGTAGATTAATTAAGGGTACCTCAACCAAACCCCTACAGTTGATAAGAATATATTTTCTTGTCACACTTCTCTTACTAACTTCTGCTTTACATTCTCTGTGATAATGGGAAAGGGCTGAGAATAGTTCTGCCATTTACTGGTGACGTTGATTAAACGTATGTGAAAGATGCTCAGCTGAGCATGCAGAGCTCTGGCAGTTTGTCCCAGGTGATGTTTTCATGTTTGTAGTCCCTGGGAAAACTGTGCATGCTGCCAGGTCCTCCTGACCTCATTGATAACATTGCAACACCACTTGCACAGATGCAGTCTCTTAATAGGTATTTGTTGGATGTTTTTCTCCTGTTTGCAAGCTTATTAATCTTTTTTGTAATAAGTAGAAAAGAAATGCGTTTGCATTTATGCATGTTTTGCAATTTCTCTTAAGAATTAATTTCTTCACCTACAGGAACTTCAGAAGGATATAGAGAAACACAGTACTGGAGTGGCATCTGTTCTCAATTTGTGTGAAGTGCTTCTTCATGACTGTGATGCTTGTGCCACAGAAGCAGAGTGTGACTCTATCCAGCAGGCTACACGCAACCTGGACAGAAGGTGGAGGAACATTTGTGCAATGTCAATGGAAAGACGACTTAAGTAAGTTTAAAATGCCTACAAATTAGTATTTCTTTCCACAGTCACAAATACAGTTGAGATATACATTATAGGGTTGCAGTACTGAAGAAAAAGGTGTAGGGATCAGAAAAAGATCATAGACTGAATAAAAGCCAGTAGCCGTTATGCTGTGTGGGAGAAAAAAAAAATAAATTTCGGGTTGTGTTTGTGTGTGCCTTTATACAAGGTACAGATATCTATTACCAAATTCTTTTCACAAGGCTTTTGATGGAATGAAGTCTTATTTCCCGTGCATCATAGAAATGATGAGAGAGAAACTAGCAAAAGCTTAGATGACAGCAGTGACTCCAGCTTTAGAAAACATGACCTAAAAGGGAAGAGTTGTAACACTGACATTTACCCTAGAAATACTGAGACTGTTGGGAAACTTGTTATCGATTGAGTGGAATGTTATTCCAGGTATTAGGGTTTTTCATGCACCTAATGTTCCTCAGCAGTTTCTCTTATGTCTGATTTTGTTTGTTTGAAAGACTTTTAGGACTGAACACTCATCTGGAATTTCTTCCTCTGCCCACCTTAGCTTTGCTGAGCAAGTGTGGGCCCGTGCATCTTTGGTGTGGTCTGGTTTACTGCACATGCTTAAACCATTTGTACACTGCATTCCCATGATATCCAGAAGATTCTTTTTTTTCTATTCCCATCTAGGATAGTGTGGGTGATTTTGACAGCCATAATGATGTAGGCTAGATTGGGCAAATGCTATGTACTCTGTGATGACCAGTAATAATATATGTTTAACTGTTTGAACTCCTGTATTTAGGAAGATTTTTCTGTATCTTTTTAAGTTATCAGTCTGATTTCTGTGATGTTTACACAGTCATATCAAGAACTCCAGGTGTAGTTTATAACTTTTCAGAATGCTGAATTGAACTATATACAAACTTTGGTTTTGTGGGATATTCTAAATGTGTTTAGTAAAGGTTAATTCTTTATTTTACACACACACACACAAAAAATAGTTACTTTTAAGTTGTGCTGCTCTATATCCACAGATTGCTATCTTTCAGTAATTTTATTACTGTTGTCATGGTAGTTTGGTAGTTCTTGTGTAGTGTATATATATAAACACAGCTTATAAATTCTATCATTGACACTGTCTTGAAAATATATAGGCTCTTCATAGCCTTGTGTCCAGCAAATTAATTCAGAACTATTTTAAGTTAATGTGGAACAATGCATTGAACTCTATTTTACTTTCTTGCAATGTGCACATTATGCTAGTAGTAGATTTGTATCAGTGAGTTAACCAAGCTATCAGTATTTAGGATCTTTATTGTACTAGAAACAGTTATTCATATTAAAAAGCAACTTTCCAGATGTCGAATTTCTGGTTAAACAATGTATCGTCAACAAAGCATAAATTTTGCATGGATCAGATCCTTTTTGACCTGCATGTCTAAAATTTGGGAAAGATACATTCTGTATGTAAAAACAGATAAAATTCTGCTGTGATACCACCTGTCCCAAAAAAAGATCTTGTTATTTTGAATCAAGTGTTGTTGAAATTGTTGGGATATAACAGTCTCAGTATTAAGCCAATTTGATTTCAGTCTCAAGAGTCAGGCGCTATTTTTACATGCTCAGTTGAATCATTTTTTTTTAAATGTTGGAATAACTGTTTTTAAATAAAAACATGTTTACAGTGTTTATTGAGATATAGCATTTTGCCACTTGTAGGTAAATGCAAAAAAAAAAAAGTTCATGTTCCGTTTCAATGCAGAATAATGACTGAGAACTTTAAAATATATGCTGCAACATCTTTAGCATTGTGTAAGAAAAAAATTTGCAGTTGAAGGTAGTGTGGAATTTCTAATCTCTAAAATACTGGCTTAGCTACCTACACTGGGACTGTATTTCAGATGTTACTTAGCATATGCTCAGATTTTTAGAGTTCCTATTGCGTACTTATAATTTTCTTTTTATACTGATTCCAAAGTTAGATGCATTAGAAAAAAATTGCCATCATCTTATTCTAGCTCAGTCTGGAAGAAGCCAGCCTTCCCTGTGGTCTGTTTATCAGCCTGTCTGTCCGAGTTAGATTAAGAGCCAGTTATTGTCTGGTGCAGTGCTGGTTTGCTGTTGTAGATGATAAGTTAAAGTTCTGTAGGTCAGCTAGCTTTCAGTCCGAGCATTCTCTAATTTTATATTGTCTATTGCAGAATTGAAGAGACGTGGCGGCTATGGCAAAAGTTTTTGGATGACTACTCGAGATTTGAAGACTGGCTAAAAATCTCTGAGAGGACAGCTGCTTTCCCGAGCTCCTCTGGTGTTCTTTACACGGTTGCTAAGGAAGAACTGAAGAAATTTGAGGTGATTTATAATAGTCGAAATTTAATATCTACTGATCACATTACAGCAGCCAGCTGGTGTTCTTCCTTCCCATATACAAGTTGCTCAGCAGAGACACTGTATTCATGTAGAGGAGTTGATGATTTTGTAGCTAGCTTCAGTGGCAGGTTTCTAGGATGAAAAAACAGTGGAAGGTGGCAAATGAGAATGCTAATAAATCAGTCCACTCTCACTTGCTGTTTATTCACCAAAGTTACATTTCTCACCTTTTTTATTTCTGCAACTTTTTAATATGTCCAGTCAGTAGGTGCTCCAGAGCATTCATAAATCTCCCTTCACCAAGTACCTCCTCAAATGGCATGCAGCATGTTTTAGCTTCTGCTTTGATTTTTGTCCCTCCTCTTCTTTCTGTAACTCTCTGTAAAAAGCCTTCTGAACTCTTCCTATTTCATACGTACAATATCTGCATTTTAGATCCTTATACCTGAGATTCATGTTCATGGAAGTATTAGTATATGTCCACATGGTGTCCCCCCATGACTTAAAATTAGGTACATGCTTCAGAACTGACAAGTTGTCACTTCAGTCAGTGCTTAAGAGCTTGCTACATAAGTCCATTGTATCTACTACAATGTGATGCCTTGTCTCATAATTACAAAGGAGGGCTTTACTTATGTGTAAAGCAAACACACGCGCATCATGTGGCTAGTCACAGGTGAAAATCTTTTGTTTGGTTTCATATTTGCAAGGAGTATATCAAGATGAGAGACAAAAAGAATTCTGAAGAGAAAGAAGAAATTGTTTAGGCAATTCTGTAAGCAGTCAGATGCTGTAAAGTATTTGCAATGAAGAAGAAATGCAAATTTTAAACATCTTAGACCAGTTAATACTTTTTGGATTAACAATGAATTCAATAACATAAACTGTGAAGTGCTGAATTAAGTTTTATAACTGACATTCACATTTCTGAATGTACTGGCCAGGTTTTGTTGTTAAACACTGACAGACTTCATTATGTTGAAGTAGATTGGAATAGTATAAAAATGTTTGCTTCCTGGACACAAATACTGTGTCTCAGACCTCCTTCTCATTGGCCCTTTATTCAGTGATCTAAATCTCTTGTTTAGCAAGTCTCTGTATGAGAAACAGTACCAAAAATATCTTGGCTGTCTTTTATTTTTACAGCTGACCTAACTTTGCCCAATGTCTGTTTCATTGACGTTCAGTCTTTATGCTGACTTTCCTTCTCCTGCAGACTTACGGAATTTTTACTGTCTACAGATAGTCAGC